CGTACCTCTTCTTCACATGAACATCACATTTATCTAGAACTTCACATAAACGAAAAGAGGCATCTACCACGAAAGTGAATCGAGGGTTAACATCATTGAATATCCTGATTCCAAATCGAACATTGAGGCGTATACAATGTAGCTTCAAATCTATGTCATCGTGCATAACACGTATTTTAGGGTTGTTTCCATCGTAGAAGGAGGCTGGGATCGCGTAAATAGAAGGTATAGTAACTTCATTAGGTGAAATCCATGAATCTTGAGGAAATATGAACGGAAAAATAGACTCCTGCAAATAAACCTCGTCTAACTTCATTCAAAAATGAAACTTAAAACTTTATAGAATCAAAATAGAAATGATTATCGAATGCCAATTCAACCAACTCAGGCTTCGGTTCTCCCCTTCTTTCGTCCCTCTAGTCAAGGGTTGAGCTAGAGGGGCGGAAAAGGGTTTATCTGTATCCCTTCATGATGGAAAAATCACACTACATGTACACTAATTATTTTCTTTATGTACATATATATACTAGATGTTGAAAATTCTGCCTCTACCACTACATCATAGTATGACATATATACAAACTACGTACATATGTATATACGTATGATTTTATATTATGTATTATTCTTAAACTAATTATTTAAACTTACCAAGAATAAAACACTTCCACAGTGCTTGACAACTTCAAGATTCATTCTGACATCATCCAAACTCCTGAAATTACGGGTGTCAAATAAACAGATTGAGCAGGTCAAAGTTGGGGGGAATAATATATAACTCGTTCAAAGGTTATTTGAGTTAAAGATAAATTGAATCAAGAAAAACTAAAGAATTAGTCATATATAACTCAACCATCAAACTATTATCAACTTTTAATTTCTTTGTTTAATTATCAAACAAAACTAGCAAACTTTTATATTTCTTTATAGAGATAATGGTAAAAAACACACATGATAATTTTTTTTTACGAATTTTCTATCTGAATTATTAAGTGTTTGCGTTTCCTATCCGACTACCACCAACTATTTATCAAAGTTGATCAGTTACCATGTGGATGATATTTTATGAGCAAATTAAGTTGTCACGAGCCTTTTAGCACTTGTATACAAACACTTGATCTGATCACTTTTGAAGTATGTTTTGATATATAGTTGATGATAGTTAAGATAGAAAACACAAACATATAATAGATTCGATATAAAACTCAAAAAATAATAATACTTCAGATATATTTTTGACCATTATCCTCTTTCCTCAATGCAAATGCATATTCATATTTACCTATGTACTTGGTCTTCAAATCCAAAATATGCTGCTAGACTATCCAACTGCCAAAAACATTATCTCTCAAATTTTAGGATCAAAATTTTTGGATAAAAGGAAGGGTAATATGAATACTATATGATTTTAGATAATTATTATTTATTGTTTATGTAAATAAAATATTAATCCACGGGATACTTACAACCTCTCACAAGTTCGTGCAAGTATGAAATATTTTTGTCCATCAAGTTTATTTTGTTGTTGTTGTGAATTGGTTGATTTTGGTTTTCTATTAGCAGAGATAGATACAAGATTTGAACTTTATGAGGCCAAATGCAGAATTCCATCACATTCCATATAATTCTGAATCTACTTTTTTTTCTATTTATATTTTTTTTAATTTCATTTTATGTGTCGTAATTTAAATATGTATGGAATTTAAAAAATAAAAAAACTTTTGAATTTTGTGGTCTTAATGTCAAATGAGATATTGGAATTCAGGAATTACTTAAGGGTGACAATATTAGTCCATGAAAACATGACATGCTCAACCTAATTGACACGCTCATTTATTAAGTCAAATTATTTTCACCCACCTAATTAAGTCTATATAAAAGTTGGGTGATATATAGCGCAAATTGACCATTTTTTTTTAATACTTAGCTCATTTCAATCTAAGCAATAACCCGTTCATTTTATATTATCTCTAACATATTTTGACTCCCACAAATTCAGTCCAACTCGCCTACTATTTGGCACACCTAGAATCACTAAATATAGAAAGTGACATTATTTTTGAAACACACTAGAAAAAAAGATGACACAAATCAAAATAGAAAAAAATAATTGATTCAACGGTATGAATCAAAATTACTAAATTCAGATGAATCCGTAACTATGGCACTAGGTCTGACGACCTTCCTGCCATGATCTATTCTAACTTCATTGACTACTAGGCTACACTCTCAAATTTGCAAAATCATGTAACAACATTCACCAAAGTTATAAAGAGATATATACCTTCATGTTTCCAGCCCTCTTTCCAAACCATTTTTTTAGCAATGGAAGTGAATCAATCAAGTGTCTATATTCTGGTGATGGCCAATTAATTCCATCAAATGCCTCTTTAATTTTAACACAATCAAATCTCTTAATATTGTGTCCAGCCCATATTTTCCCTGTGTCATCACGAAAAAAATAAAAAAATGAGATATCTCATAATATTTATTTTTTACGTACCATCGAAGATTATAAGAAGACAATAAAATACCTTTAAAAGAGCGCTTGAATTGAACTTTAGGTATAAAGTCATTTTTTTTGGTACATTTACATAGTTGATTTTGTGGATTTGTTGATTAGTACATCTCCGATGCTGATAGGGCTGAGATCTATTATTCTTAAAGTGAATTTTTTAAAATATAAATTTAGATTAATCAAGTCTCGTAGAGGGTGACAAACACCGAATGAGAAACTTAAAAAAATTATATTTTCTACATTACTAGTGTAAAAAAGAGCAAATTATTGCAAGAAACATTCCTAGTATATATTTGGGAAGGATCGCATCCCAGAGATACAAATTAAACGGCGGAGCAAGGAATTTTACTAAGAGACATTAAAATATTAAAAAAGTATTTAACATACCAAAAAAATAAGGAAATCAAATCACCACATATATTAAAATAATTAAAATTTTGACTAAGCTAAATAGTGTAATTTTTCGGCGACCTTGACATAGGTGGCTGCGCCACGGAGTACAATATAGGTAGAGCCACCTTGACTCAAGTTTCAGGAGTCTGGAGTATAAAAAACAACTTTTATTTATCAAAAAATTCAGAAGGGTAACAAGAATGGAAACAAACCAAAAAGGTACCCATTAACTTTACCTTTTGGTTTGTTTCCATATTTTGTTACCCTTAGGAATTTTTTATTAAAATAAAATAAAATAAAATTGCCTTTTATGCTTTGAACTTCAAGTTTCAGTGATTGATTTCAGGCATTAAAATCATAACCTAGATTATATGAATATAATTTTATCGTTACTTCGACACGTGAACACTCTCATTCTATAGTTACTTTAGTGTGTAAAAGTTAAAAAAATAAAAATAAAATTTAATGTTAATTACCATGAAGGATTTGGTAGATTTTTTCAGCAACTTGAGAGAAGTGAGGGGCATAAGCTAAAGCTTCTCTTGTGATACCATTAGAAAGATCCGAAAAAGTATCCAAGAATAACGGGTCATCGGGTCGGATCAGGGTCGAATAGCTATCAAGCTCAATTAACCTCCTCGGGCATACGAATATCGATCCGAATTCCAATAGGGCCCAATCTTGACCCGGATTTGGACGCCTCATCTCCAAATCAAAGAACACAATCGGGTCGTGCTCTCCATCTATGATCATCTCCATTAATGTAGTCGAGTTAAGTTGAGTTGAGTTGAGTTGAGTTGTGTAGGCGAGTCAAACTGAGCTGAATTGAGTTGAATTGAGCTTTCATCGATTTTAGACACACTAAGAATGTAATTTTTTTTGGTGTTAGACATATATAACTCTTTTAAGTGTTTATATAGATGCATGTATGTAGAGCTATGTGTGTGAATTATTGAACTTTTAAATGTGAGCATAATATTCTTTACTTTTTAGTCTGTTAAAAAAAACAAGAGATATTTTATCGGGTTCATTTAATGTTTTTAATTAGTCTAACATGTAAATTTAGAAAATAAAAATTAAATTAAATTTTGTGATATTAAATGTAATATTTTATAGTATATAATTTGTTAAAATATAATTTAGATTTTATATTTTTAAATAAAATAAATGACAATTTTTTTGAAACCGACTAAAAAAAGGTTGGATTTTTTATGGTGGGGCAGTGTAATGTACTATTGTAACTTTGCCTTTTTTTTGCCTTTTCAAAAAGGCAGTCTTGAAGTAGTGCACATTGGAAGCTTAATTTAGTGTGTGACTTGAGAGGGTAGTTTTGTCATTTCATTGAAAAGACATGATTTTAGATTCGAGACTGAATATAGAGTCGTCTCACTTTTGATAGAGAGTGTTTTATCTCCAATGGAGGGACTGGTTTTAAGATTGTTGTACACAATCTTGTAAGAAATTATAAAAAAAATGTATTTTCTTCTTATTTAGTTAAGTGACTTTCTATTTCACCTGGCGTGAAGTTGGATTAGTCAAATCCCAAAGCGAATACAAAACATCAAGTGAAAAAAATATAAAAATTACAATCTTAGTAGACAAGCTTCTTAATTTTATTGGTTATGTATGTGTTGTCCTTTTTTTCTTTCTTTTTCTTTTTGTGTTGGCCATTATATTATCTCTTTAATAATCTTCTCACTGTCTTTAGTCATCAACTTATTATTCAAGGTCAAGAAAATATAAAGTTATAATAACGACAAAAGAGACATGTAGTACTAAAAATAATTCCTAGGTTAATAGGATAACTTTTTTTTTTCCTGAGTCGAGAGTCTATCGAAAAAATAATTTTTTTATTCTATATATAAGGTAGAGATAAAGTTTATGTATATTTTATCCTTCTCGAATCATATTTATTACATTACATTGAATATATTATTATTCTTAATAAAAAATCTTGAATTAGAGCTATATGTATAAAGTTATCTTTGTTAAAGAATAATTTACTCCAATATGAGACTTTTCGATACAAATTAAAATTTAATTAAATCTCAACACAAGTACGGAACATCTTCTCTTTTTTTTCTTTTCCTCATGCAATAATTTCATGTTTCATACAAGTCCTAAGTTTGATGGCCATTGAGTCCATTCCAATTGGTTGAATAATGTCACAACATTCTCCTCTGTTACCATCCTATACAACAAAAAAAAAGAAAAAGAAAAAAAAAAAGAGAGAAGGATTATATACATATATATATATATTTTTATTTTTTTAAAAAAGTCACATAAAGTACTCTTGGTAGCAAACTTTTATAATAAAAACCTCAATATTCATATTGAAAAAGAATCATCAAAGAAAATGCTTTTTTTAACTCTGCAAATAATAATAATAATTATCATATAAAGTCTCATATTAAAGTGCTTATAATTTTGGGGTCTAAAATAAATCTTCTTCTATTTCTATCCTATAGACTATAAAATTTCTTTTATTTTAGAGTTCGAGAAAGGGTCACACCAATTCAAAGGAGTTTGGCATCCATGTGGAGCCTATCCTAATGAAAACATCTCATCACTGGTTGATCATTCAAGTATAGTTCGAACCTATAATGACAACCTATTCTTATGCAAGCATTACTAGTGGCTAATTCCACAGGTCGAATTCATGAAGACAATCTATATGTGGTACATACATCACCTATAGACAACTTCAATACACTCCAAAGTTGTCCTTTTCTTCTACAACGTAACAAATAAAGAATTTTGCGGTAATAATGTAATTATCACTATATTATATTTTTAGCAACAATATATTAATATGAACATTTATAACCAACACTCCACGTAAATGTCGTTAAAGATTTTAGCAGCAAAAAATATTGTCATTAAAAGGAAAAAAATATATTGCCACTAAATATCTCTTTTGATGTAATGTTGATCGGTCAATAAACACACAAATACATATGTATAATATACCAAAGAAAATAAGAAATATTATTTTGAAATAGATTAAGACAAACAAATCGAAACAGAGTGCGTACAAAGTAAACTTACCCCCACATGAAGCTTATGCATAGGAGAGAACACATGAACTTTCATGACACCATTAGAAGAATGATCATCATCATTATTGGCACAAATCCTATGATTTTTCTTGACATATGTTGTCACAATATGATTCAACCTAGTACCCTCCAAAGAATCAAAAAACAAAATATTTGGAACTTCATCACATGAAAAATTATTATTATTGTTGAATTTTCTAACATTAAACATGTAAGGTGGCCATGCACCTTTTCTCCATTCACCAAATGTCTCAATTGGAGTTTGAAGATAACTTTGTGATATAATTTTGTCATAAATTTGTACTGAATATCCCCATGACACTGAAAATGTCCAATTGTGTCTCTTATTGTAACATGTACTTTGTTGTAATAGTCTAGATTGATCAACACTTGCTGCTTTCATTAGATGATTTAAGGCATCATAATGGTTCATTGATGGAAAAATTGGTGATACTAAGTCAAGATGATGGAGTGATATGAATGGTGATTGTGGATGAGCTGATAAAAATCCTGATATATCGCGACGCAAGTCGATCTGAAATAACATGAGAAAGTCATTTTCTGATGTTCGATTACCGAGGGAGGGGGTGGGGGGGCATGAAGTAAAAAATAAAGGGAGTGTGAAATATGCCATCACTACAACAAAAACAACTTTTAGCGGCAATAAATAGACACATTAATAAAGAATGCTTAAAAAGTCTTTACCGGCATTAGTTAAGTGCCATTAGATCCAATGTTACTAAAGGCTTTAGGGACATATACAAAGAGGGCTAATTGCCGCTAAAAATACAATATTTAGTGGCAATTGAGCTATTATATCGTTAATTAATTGCCGCTAAAGATCATTTTTGATATAGTGAATATAATTATCTTAACGTTTAAATTCATATTACTAATTACTCTAATTAACAATTGAGACGTTATTAATTATTATTTAATCTCTAGTACTAATTAAAGATATAATCAGAATACACTTCCCAATTTACTATTCCTTTAGTTTTTAATTATATTTGATTGAACACGAAGTTTTAAAAAATATAAACTTTTAAAATTTGTAATCTAGCTAGAACAAGCCGGCAAAGATATTTTGTGTGACGATTTATCTCACTATGAATAAAACAAGAAGTTAAATTGATCCTAAACGTAAAATATATTATTTTTGGAGACAAACAAAAAAAGAAAAGAAAAATATTTATGAAAAATTATAATTTCACTGGCCAATATTATTCTTGAAAAATATCAGAGACACTTTAACATAACTAACCTGATATAGGATTAGTAAGATAAGACCTTAGCTCTCCTTACTCATAAGTCATCAGGGCCATCACGACACCAAATTAAATACTCTCTCTATATATTTGATTATGATTCCAGTTATTATTGTATATTCACTCAAAGTCGTTATTACAATTTTAAATTATGAATGCGCCTCTGACCAGTCACGAAAAAAAAGAAGAGTTTGATTACTTACTTGATGAAATCCTTTTTCTAGTGTAATGGTGACTCCTAAATCTGCAATACAAGCTTGTAAAATGTGATCACTTCCATACAAATATGGATACCTCTTAATACAAGTATCCATATTCTTTGCCAAAGCTTGTGCTAAAGGGTAACTCAATGCATAACCACCACCACCAAATGCCATTTGAAATGACATTCCAAAATTACTCACAATGCACTCTGAATTCATCCCAACATAATAGTATTTCATATGATCATACTTTGATAGCACATTGACCAAATTTTCAATCATGAATACAGTGTCATCATCAGCCATAACGTACCATCTAACAGTACTAGAGTCATGTTCTTCCATGAACGTCTCCTGAATCACTCTCACCATTCTAATCGCGAATGGCATTCCATGTTTGTTGTAAGGCATGTATCGCGAATTGTCACTAGAAATTCTATAAGGAGGAGATGAATTAGGCCATGGTAAGTGTTCATCATTTGGGGTTCTATCTAAGAAAAGATAACCCTTAGTTATATTTGGTTTCCACCAAGAATTTATGTAACATTTTTTTGTACCCCATGTGTTTGATGAGGCTGCAATTCCAAAAACTAAATGGCTAATATTGGTTTTAATATTATTGGAATTAAAATAATATTGTTTTGATGATTTGATGATGTTTTTTGTGGGGGGAAATTGTGATAGGGTTGTTGTTGTTGTTGATGATGATGATAAGAAAAAGTATATAAGATATAGAATTAGGGTTAAGAAAACTAGGGTTTTGCATAAAATTCCATTCAAGAACAAGTTTTTGGACAAAGTTTTTGGTTTAATATTTAGGATAATGGCATTAGTAGTAGTACTTTTTTCTAATGACATTTTTCCTAGCTAGGAAAATTTTGAGTTTTTGTTGAAAATGAAAGAACACAACTATGATATATATAAAATATATGTAAATTTCAGCTGGTTATGTTGTTATAATAATCGTTGCACGCCTTCACTCCGTCTCTCATTTTGAAAAGTTTTTTCAGTTACTTTTTATAATGATCTGATCTAAAAAGTATGATACATCGATATACAAGATTTTCTTTTTTCACATGTTAGGACCCCCTTGTGGTGCATATATAATATGTCATGTAATTGAAAGACAAATTAATGTGATCATTGATTAAGTAATAACTTAACTTAAGTTTCTTGCTTTGTTTGGGAGATAATTGATGATTAAATGATAACACAAAAAGCATGAACATATATGCAGCAACTTTTGTGTGGAAACAAAATTTAATGATGAATAGTCACACCAAATTACACAAGGGTCACACAAAAAATTATACAAGGGTCACACCAAAGTTTAGGGGGTAGCTAAAGTTAAATTATTTCACATACTTCAAGAGTAAATTTGATATTTTTACCAAAATAACTAACTTGTCATTATCTCAAAAATTGTCTTATAAAGAAATAAAAAAATTAAGGTTTGTCTCAAGGTCGTAAACAACCTATTTTCCTCACAAAGGTAAGGGGTGATGTCTGCGTATATCCCATTCTATCTACACTACATCGTAAAATTACATTGAGTATATTATTGTTATTGTTTTAAGTTTTTTCTCGTGATCATAAGTATCTTTACACAAGTTCGTAATCATCATCACACCGCAAAAAATAATAATTAAAGGAAGTATCTACAAAAACCATCGTCACTAAATAGCTCATAAATAATAGAATTTTTTATATAATTTATTGCTAATTATCCATTATTAAACTAAATTAGCGATATATTTTTATTGTTTAGCAACATAAGTTGTCCGTCTCTAATTTATTTATTTTTTGAAAATGGACCAATCAATTTCTAGGACATAGCTAAATTTTAGTTATTAACAAATTCAGAATCCACAAAAGAATATAAAGGGTAGTAATTTTTTTTTTGAGGTCATCACAGAAATTAAGAGTCAATGCCTTATAAATAAATTTTAAAAAAAGTGTTCAAGGCATTGAAAATTGTATTTTATTATTATATTATTTAAAATAAAGGGGAAAAAAGGACATTTCCTTCTTCCTTTTCGCTCCAATTTTTTTCCTATTGAAATGAAAATTCTCCTTCCCATGAGCTTTGCCAAGAAAATGTTTTCTTTTGTAGTTTTCAAGGAAAATTTTCTTTAATTTTTTTTCCCAAAAAAAATCCAGAAAAATAAAATTTTGCAAGAGATGTATATATAAGTTAATAAAATGTTTTATTTGTAGTTTTCAAAGAAAATTTTCTTAGAGTTTTTTTCCCTAAAAAATAATCCAGAAAAATAAATTTTGAATGAGATATATAAGACAAGAAAATGTGTTCTTTTGTAGTTTTCAAAGAGAATATTCTTTGAGTTCTTTTTCCCTTTATAAATAGAATTCAAAAAACTAAATTTTGGAAAATATATTGTATATATTTAGTTATTTTTTATTTTTTTTGAAATAGAGAAATAAATGGAGAATTCATCATTGGGAGCTGCAATTTGTGCTGTTTTTGCAGTTTCTGGAGGTGTTGTCCTTCTTGCATCTAAAGTTCATAAACACCTCCTTTCTGATTTCATGAAGAAGATTGAAATTGAAATTAGTAAATATTTTACCCCTTTTAATTTTTATTTATTTATTTACTGTTAAAATATCGCACCGATTTAATTTTCTCTAAAATGTATTTGTTATCCTAATTTATGTGATATATTTATCTTTTAGATATGTTTTTAAAAAAATAACACATTTTAGTATAGAAATAGTTTAACTTAAACCTTATATTTTATGCGTAGGATGTGTTTGGTACAAATGAAGATGTTTTCTTGGAATGTAAGTAGGGTTTTTAAAACTTTTTTTCTTGATGTTTAGTAACTAAGCGGAAAACATTATTTCAAGAATATTTATATACAATCTAGATAAATATTACTATGATGGAATAGGGAGTAGAGGTGGTCGGGTGGTACTTAAGGTGGGGAGGGGCTCAGGATAGGGGTCGAGGAGGAGACAGTCAACGTAAAATATCATTAATTATAAAACTTGTTTTTCCTACTAATTCCTAAGAAATTATTTTCCCATTTTATAAATAACCTGTTTTTTTATATATCTTGTTCAATCAATCATGAGATTATTTATAGTCGCATTTCTTGTATATTGCCCCCAAATTATTTTTTAATTTTTTTTGTGAAAATTTTGATTCTGACACTGATCAATAATTTTGATGAATATTTTTGGATGTTAGGACTAGAAAAAGACCAACAAAAGAAGAAGGTGAGGTTTTCCAATGAAGTTATAAAATTGGCCCCTCAATTATTAGAGAAAGTTGAAGAAGTTGATGATCATAATCCAAAGAGAAGGAATAATCCAAAGAACTTTGAATCTATGCCTTTGAATTGGCAAGCTCTTTACAAAGGGATCCTCCAACACAAGTCCCTCAAACACTACAACTAAATTCAATTTTCAATTTTGTAATATTATTATTATTATTATTATTTTTATAGTGTGTTTTATGTGATTCTCATAAAATTTTAGAATTAATTTGTGTAAAATTTTGAGTTAAATAAAGACAAGTAATTAGTTGAAGTTTTTTTTTTTGTTTAATTCGATACTGCTTTAGTCCCTCTCGTTCTTCTAGAAGAAGAAGAAGGGAGCTATGTCTGAATAAATAAGCTAGAAGATGAAAGACTTTTTTCATTTTTCGACGGTGAAGTAATATCAATTTCATGATTTCTCTTTTACACAAGCGATAATTATAGTTATCTATTACTTAGCTAATTAATCATCATCGACAATAATAACATACCAATTGTCCCATTGTGATTATATAAGGGGACTTTGGAGATGGTATGGGTATATGCAGATTTTATATTTTATTTGTAGTAAGCAAAAAATATTTTAAATAGATTTTCAATTAAAAAAATATTTTAAAATTTTATACAAGACGAATTAAATTATAAAATATAGAGGTCTTGACTGCGTACTACATCAATTAATTCATAAATACAATAAATAACATATTATTATTATATAATGAAATAATTGAAGAAACAGAAAACCTCTAAAATGTAGATCATCAGATTTTCACTCCAAAACTTTGATGATTTTGTTGACTTTTCAAATATGAATAATTGTTAAATAATCTTTTTTAAATTGTCTAAGAGTCTGTTAGGATCAACTGAATTTAAGTGTTAGAGTGAATTGAGGAATGTACAAATAATAAGGTATTTGGATGGATATGTTGAAATTGAAAATAAATATTTCATTTGTTTGGTAAAATAAACACTTTTCTTGTTAAAATGTTTGAAATATCCGCAAAGTCATTAACACAAAAAATAACAATATATTTTTCCAGTGTAATTACAGAAGTGTAGAGTCCAGAGAAGGTATGATATACGCAGATCTTATCCCAATTAATTATTGTGAGATAGACTTATTGATAGATTTTCGATTCAAAACACATGTACCCAATGCAGGGTTATAAAAAAAGGTAAGACAATAAAGTATTAAAATTAAAATAAATAAATTTATATTCTATAGTTTTAATATCTTAAGTCGAAAAACAAAAACTAATTGGGTCCATAGCTCAGTGGTAGAGCATTTGACTGCAGATCAAGAGGTCACCGGTTCGAACCCGGTTGGGCCCTTTTTTCCCCTTTTTAATCTGTAATTTTTTTTATATTTTCAATTAATTGGGATATAAAACTGTCAATAGTAGCTTTGAATGATTATTTTTGCATGTTTTTTAAATTTTGAGTCGAGAGTTTATCAAAAACTGTTTTGAGAGAAAAACGTTTAAGTGGCGAGTAGTGTGTGCAATAGCTAGCGTATACAAAAAAATTTATAAACGATGTCGACATTAATGTTCAAATAAATGAAAAGGAATCAATCAACAAGAAAATTTAGTTATTAAGAAGAATCTATTTTTATTATAGGAGTGGTTAAAGTTTATTGTGCTAATTACAAACGTTGATTAAAGATTTTGAATTCAAATTTTAGGAATGGATTAGTTGATTTTGGTGAAATCTAGCATGTTATCGTTAAAATAAGATATCTGACGTAAATTTGAATTAGTCTGACCTGAATATAAATGATCTGATGCGACACGCGATAAAGGAAAAGAATTTGATTATGTGTTTGTTTGGTTGACATGCATAACCAATGCTTTGTAATAATCAACTAATTATTAAAGAGTTAATGATAAAAACACTCATCTAAATAATTATTTTTTCAAGAGTTTGATATCTCAATTATTTATTGTTCCATTTTACCTATCTAAACTATCACTCCTTTCTATTTTAGGGATAAGGCACAAGTATCACCTAGACTATGATCGAAATTTCAGAGATACACCTTAACTAAATCAAGGTCCTATTACTCCCCGAACCCTTTTTTTGGTAATTTTGTACACCTTTTTGGTGTTTACATGGCCTCCAAACATTTCCCAC